AAGATGACAAATCATTTGATGCTTAATTGTCAATAACAAGTGGGCGCTCATCTCCTTAATACCCGCGAGTATCACGTTCGAATTAATCTCAGGGGATTGGAGCAGAGATGAGCACAAAAAGCAAGCTTAACTACGCAGTACAATACACGATACTTATAAATGTTATGAAACGACTGGTGAAATATTGAAAATGAGAAAAAAAGAAACATTCCTTTTGCGACAGTTAGGAACAGAGAAATTTTAACTAAAGCGGCTGAGATTAAACGAGAATAACCAATTTTTGAGAGGCATGAATACATATTCATCGATGATTGATCGAGCGATCAAACAAACCATTCATAATGATAGACTGATCAAGTTTTCATAATACTAACCGAGATTAACGGTATGAATTAGCATTATTTGTGGCTAATATTTCTTTAAACTGCCGCCGGAAAAAACGCTATTCTGACATTGGGTGATCCTGCTGATGTGATTCATCAATGAGACTGATCGATCACTGGTAGTCTCATGGACCGATAAGATGTGGAAGACTGTTACGTTGAAAATCACAAAATCGGAGCTATGTACTTCAGCTATTCCTTCAAACATAATATCGCATTGACAAGCGTCACAAGAAAAACTCATCACGGAGCGTTACAGCGCTGCTGTTCTTGTCAAATAAATTAAGTATCGTTCAGAAAATGAAAACAATACAATATGTGAACAGTTATCGTCAGACAGTGGTCGTTGATCCATAAGAAATTGATGACACTATCATGAAAGCTTCAGTCTGGAATTGAGTAAAGTTGGTGCCCAGTTTGAGGTAAATGTTACAGAATGATACGAAAGATATCTTAAACGATGGTTATGTATCAATATCTGAAAATGTCGACAATTGATAATCGCCGAAATTTTTTCGAATGTCACGACTGAGTGCTTCCATCTGACCACGAGCCAGCTCTTTGAGATCTTCTCTTGAAGCGATTTCATATTCGTTATCATAGCCGATCGAATGAACACTAAAGGTGATTGTGTATTAACAGTTCCTGACCAATGGTAAATGATGTTTGCTGACGGTTAGGACGAATGTGCTAACCAAATAACATCTTGAATCATAAACCAGTTAAATTCAATTCCAACATCTGCATTATTTTCTATTAGTATTAATTTCGGAGTTTTCCTCCTGCTTGGGGCCGTTGTATGTAGAACACATTTTGCGCAAAATTCCTACTGATGCCTTCTTGCAGCTCCATCGGCACTACTTTTGCAGCAATCCATCTTTTTGATGTCAGATTGAATTCTTGAAGTATCAAGTACCAATCACATCATATTGTACAATAAGCAACTCACCTGTTCCATCGGAAGTTATCAAAAATCGACGATGCGTTAAGAGAGGAACATACACTGTCGATATCGGCATCATTACCGTTATCATTCGACATCATATTACGACGCCTTTTCCTACGGCTATCACCAGCTCTGCAACCATGCATCGTTTTTCAGTAATGTATTCGGTTAGCATAAAAAGCAAAGTTGTTGCTTCTCATGTAGCATAACATTCCTCATTGCATCATATATGACGACGTTCAAGATAAGTTACTCTATTACTTCAGTGCATGCTTGATCCGTTCGAGACGACCTTCTAACATTTCGGAATCCGAGCATATACCCTCAGATTCAGCATTATCGTATTCCGTATGACAAGCACTCGATATTTCTCTCCTGAAAGAATATTTCAGTCTTGCACATGATTGCACTGATCCGTCCATTCCAGAATATGATTAAATCATGTTCTCGACATAACCACACCAACTAATACTCATATGTTGTTGGAATTACGCTGCTGCGAAGTAACTCATGTAAAATAAGAAAACACAATTACTGACCTCAACGTCTATATTTCAAAAATGATACCGAGTGAATTCCATTTCAAAAAAAAAAATGCTAAGAACATTGAAATAAACCAAATGCGAAAAAAGAACCTGTTGAACCTGAGGCTTCGATTTGACGCTGACAGAGCGGTGGGAAACGGATGACATTCAAGTTTATTATCGATATCCACATGCGTGACAGATGTTAACTCTTGCAACATTCGATCAACACGGTTCGACGCAGCTGTCAGCCGTTCGATGTCATTCGCATAACTCGCACTCGTCAAATCGCTCCTGATCGATCCACCGCCGATACTCATCCAGCTCGACGATTTTCGTCCGTTCATCATCCATCCACTGTGCACCTTCTCATGATTCATCGAATTCTTATCGCACTAAAACTTAATCTCATTTCCAACTTCATTGATATTGATAAAAACCACCTCATATGTAAACACAAAGGATCACATTTCCAACTCGTATTTGCTACGCTACTAACTATATTCTCGACCCAATCGTTATGTTCATTTCATCGGAACCAAACAAACGTGAAAAATGATTTAAGTTCAAAACAGTTATCGTCATTTTATATAATAGAATTAAGTTAGAAGAACCTCAGATGCATTTGAACTCTGAGGACAACAAGATGAGTTGTAAACGGATGATTTTGAAGGTGATTTCTTTTTTTCATACATCAACATTTCGGGTGTTATCCATTCCATATCCGAGTCGGTCTCCACACCAACGTCAATCGAATACACTTCCGATGAGAATGATGAATCCATCGATGTGAACATCTGAAGGTTCAACATTAGTGCAGTTAGTCAACAACACAGTTCAACGGCAGCTTTCAATTCGCTACGATATGTCACCGTCTACAACAACAAATATTTATAGTACAATTTGCATCTTGTTTACATCCTGAAGGTTTTGATAATTATTAATAAAGGCGAGAAGACAATTAATCATCGCCTTCTTATGACCATTTGTTTTAGCATTCTCCTTTTAGATAGCCATTTGAACAGTTTCCATTGAAATTGCGGATATTCGGAAATCTCGGGCTATTGGGACCCAACGTCCCAAATATAATTATTGGATTACGGTTTCAATTGTGAATACTAATTGGCTTTCGCAATAAGATCTAGTTCAAGAATTATTGTTTGAGGAGGGAAATACCCAAGACCAGCTGATCGCTATAAAAGCAGTGAGATGCGAGCCTCTCGAAGCTAGAGGAGTTGTGCCATCACAAGAGCAGTTGTGCATCAGATGAAATAGAAAATCTTTTCACCTGAAGAGGATTTTCTGAGTCTTGATGGATGGGTGGTTCTGTCTGTGAACGCGTTTCATCGATTGATCCAGCGGTAGGATGGGATTCCTCGAAAACGTATGCCGTAAGCTGAGGTGATACAACGATCGGACGAGAATCAAAATTGAAATTTCTCGGTCTAAGCGCCAAATAAATTTCCTCGGATACCATAATACCATAACAAGCAGCATGTTGCATTAATTGCCTGGCTTTCAAGCATGGGTCACCGATCAGTTCATATGTAGGTCGTTCATTGCTTATCACTGCTGATAACACTGATCCACAGTCGATACCTTCAAATACACTTGTACATACGATTTGCTCTCGGAATTAAGCATTCATATATTCGACGCACCAGCGAATTTCATTTCAACATTTTGTAACATCTTTGTTAATGAATTTCATGTTCTTGAGGTGGATGCTTTCATAATTGTGATGACTTTCATGGATGAAATCATCATAACGATTCAAAAGTATTGGATCAGTCGGAATTCTACACAGGCTCTTTTTGCATCATAGAAAACGATGTTCTCATGACGTGATTAATCTCTCTCTTTTTATACATTTACTGATAAAAGATTGGATAAAAAATCAAACAGTAAAGCGTTTCTTCTGAAATTACGATCAAATATTGATAAACAGGTAGGTAATCACCAATATTTAGCGATATTCCATGATCGTTTGCAAATGCAGAAATATTCAAAGTGAACTGAGTTAATTCAGACAATAGATCACCAATTGTTGACGGTGTGTCATGTACCTTAATGTTTTAAGTATTCATTAAATAAAACCTTGAAATCCAAGCATATGTTTACTATATTATTAGTCCGTCAAGATAACAGTGTGGTTAGTTACACGACTGTTTCACGAAAGTTTTCATTCTTTGAAAGATCTGTTCCGTTCAAGAAGTGTCACACTGATGTGTCTTACAAAGCGGTATAATGAAATGAGAATTGAAATAATGAAATAAGAATGAATAGAAAGATAATACATTTTTGCTTGTTTCTGGTAAGATACCAACTGCAGCAATATACATTTTACTACAACTTTTTATCTTCTCAATACCATGATGTTGCAGAAGAATCTGAAAACAATCGTAGACATCCTTCCTTTCTTGACATAAGGAGGCATTAACTGAACAAAGATATTTATTGCCAAAAAACCGAAACCAAAATCTTTCCCAGAGAGGTAATCTGTAGCCTGCATACAACAAGACTGTTCAAGATATGAAACCGAGTCAATGCAGCGAATATTCATGCCCAAAGAACTGGAAAATAACCTGATCGAAGACGGAAATAATATTTTTGAGTACATAAATCGCGTTTTCACAGTCTTCATCTTGCAGTATTATCTATAAAGTGAATGTGAATTGAATTGAATCTGTTCCGTCACACAGAACAATGAACAATTGTGCGAGATAGTGCCAAAGTTGTCATTTCGGAACAAAAGAAGTGAATGACAACAGATGTCATTCGAGAAATGAGTGAATACTGACATTAATGAATGCAACTCCAACACTGTGACACAAGTGATGATGCAATTCAGATTTACTGTAAAACGTTTGTGCTACATGAGACGGAAGTGCGTTCAGAAGCATTTGCTGGATGGATCGATCAATCTGCTCACATTCGCCATTTTCTTCAATCTCCTGCAGTTCAACTGAATGGTTATTCACTCGACCAACAATCACAAGTTTATGCCTCTTCTCTACGATCATCAACATCACAAGTTTTATATTCTTCGATATTCGGAATCCTAAGAACTTTATCTGGAGTATGATTTAGTAACCAGCAGGTCACTATTCAGTAATCAGAGAGGCTCTAAGTAAGCTCCACAATGTACTCTTCGATTATCCGGTGGACTGAACGTTCCACGATCGCTCGCGGAACGTTCAGTCCACCGCCGTTCAAACGTTCAAAACGTACGACCGCCGTTCAAAAGCACCCAGAGGTAACTCAATTAGTTTATTTGATTGATCACACCTATCTAATTCATTGAAAAAATTTCGTGCAGATCTTCCTGAATTTCACGTGCAGCAAATCCACTCAAAAGAAAGAGTCAAAAAAGAATGACCTTCAGTTTTGACATGAAATCGAGTCTGAGAATTCGTTCATTACTTCGCGACTGAATGAAAATGATTCCGATTAACGTCAACAAGCCCAACATCAGCTCCCATTCAACACGATATGTTCTAAAAACGCTCAGTTATATGCAAATTGTAAACGCTTGTAGGATATCACTTGTTTAATCGCACGTTTCAGCAAAATTTCTCAGAGAATCGAAACTTTTCAGCTATTCCACGAGATAAATTCTACATCAAATTCGACGAATGAAGTTGACGATTCTAATTTGTTCCATAGATTTATATATTACCGACATGAACTCATTTTTGTTGATTACAATTCAGATTAAAATACGCTCAGTTCATAGACAGTGAGCCATATAAATCTACATTCATCAAAAGTGAAAAGACGACTTCAAACAGATATGATGATTTTAAAAGGTAAATGACGAACTGATTGAGTTGAGAATAAGAATAGTAAAGCATCGGATGAGTGACGAAAACGTGTAGTGAGTATAAGATGAAAGCAATTAGTAGGGCGTATAGCTGGACTATTGATGGTAATCTTATGAAAACCACTGATGATAACATCCATATTGCACAACTTAATAACGAGAAATGTACAACGTAACATTCTGAACTCTCATCCAATTCACCACTTTGTGGACATGAGAACTGAAATGCACACTTTTTAAATAGTTTAATTCGAATTTGTCATTATTCCAGTATATTTGTCATTTAGTAAGATTTATGTGGGTGATGTAAACATTTTTTGGTTATTCACTTCAACACATCAATATTATTATTAAACTAGAGTGATAGTTGGAATATTTTAATTTGCTGTTCATTAGCAATGGGTGTCCTCATCATTCTTTAGATTACTGATGAACAATACACTGAAACAAATTGAAAAAGATAAATGTATACCGTATTAACGATTCCACAAACGAAAAGAAGTGAAAGAATGAGTAATATTGCTGTCGAATGGCCAACAGCAGTTCGTGTTATAAAGTGACAAAAAATCTGAAAAAAAATCATAGAATAACAAAATTATTGGCAGATTCTAGACTGTTGCACTATTTTTTCATATCAGCAATTTCTGAAACTGACTAAAGCCATGAAACTTCGGAAATGTCTTGAAATTTGATTAAATCGCCAACACTAACGAACGACTGATTAATTCCCCTTCCCTCCCCCCGGAAAAAACACAAAAATCGTGTCATCTATCGATTATCTAAAACCTAGACCAATACATATCAGGCTGAAGAATGCATCATTAATCATTCACGTGAATAACGCAAACAGCACAAATAACATTCGCAAAGGTGGGCTTACCTCAAAATAATTTATGTAAAGCATAAGAAGCACAATGAACATCACTGTTAATGCAACTACTATCAATGCTAATGTTGCGATTTGTCTGAAACATTGAATGTATTTACAGCACTGCAATATCGGATAACTGATTCAACTGCTGAAAAATGCTTTCGCTTCGTTCACAATTTCACCAAATCTTGATGAAAGTTTGCTATTTAACGCCATCTTTTGCAAAATAAACAGAGGATACACAAAGTTACAATTCATTTCAATAAAACAATTCAAGAATCAATCGTTAAAATTAACATTTCAAAATTTCAACGTGAAATTTCAATCGAAAATTTTACAATTTCACAATTTTGTAGTTTTTAAGGAATACTCAAGAATGGTCAGAAATCATTGAAATATGAAACCAAACCGTAAATAAATACCTTGGAAGAACGAGAACATGATAAACGCCATAAACGACCAAGAAGAATATACTGATTGCCAGTGCTGGTATAAACCACTCATCTAATTGCATATGAAACTGAAATATGTATCATGTTTAGGTAAATCTGCACAATTGCAAGATTACGCACCTGCGTCCAAAAAGTAAGAATGGAATTAACTAGAATCAACAGAATGTAACTAATCAACAGTTAGAATCGCCACTCATAGAAAACAAGAATAAATTTCCAAAATCATCAAAAATATCCAATCACGGTATTGACAGCCTTATTTTCACATGATATCAATTCAATTCAACAAAAGTGAATCATATGGTAGAAACAAACGAAAAACCTAACCGCAGTCTCCATTTGTTCATTTCGGAATTTCAGAGTGAGCGACTGCATCAAGCTCTTCCCTTGATCTCGCTTATTTGCTAATTTATCACCAACACTTAAAAGTTTTTCCATTTTTCTGGAAAACAAACAAACAGTTTTCAGAGTATCATTAAGATTTCGGCGATGAGGTCATTAAAAATTACTACAGATAAAGGAATGAAGTAATTTACTTCATCACGATGACTCCGAATAAGTCGGAATCAGCGCGGTCAGCTGATAGTGCATAAGCAATGACATGCATTTTCTGGCATGTTTCTGCAGAATCTCATTCGGCTATCGTATTTGCTATGACTTTTGGTCCGTCCTAGAGGAAGGATCAAGAACCATAGTGAATAGAATGCAGAGAATGGTAAACGCAATAGATGATTATGATTATGCGATGATAAAAGTACGGAGACTGAAATACTTTTTTCGTCGACCAGGCAAGGCATTCGTCTTGAGAAGAGAATCTGAGGCTGACGCGATTGTTTGCAGAAGACGATTGACAGCTTGAGGCACTGTCACCAGTGAGAATCGACGTAAATTTGGGAATAACGTAGATGAAGATAGATTCGTTTTTAGCTGAGGTACAACACACCAATAACGATCCCTCTTCTCAATGTTGAACTCATAACACTGCGATTGTTGCTTTGCGTTATCGCCCAAAAATATACCACTGAAAATATGTACCATTGTCACCCTCCTTATAAAGTAATTTCATTTTCAAAATATGCGATTTCAAAATATATTTCCCTGACGATATCAAATTTTTATTTCTCCGGCAACGAGTTTATTCATCACACAAAATGAATAGTTGCTTTTCTTGCAAAAACTTGTCAGCTCTGGCTTTGTTTTTTTGGCATGGAATGACTTCTTCATCACACATTACTTTCATAGTCGTTACGAAATTTCGTTAGTAAATTTTGTTGATAATCAAATATTCGATTGTATCGTAAATAAATTCCGATAATTGTTGATCTGAGAGGATAGATCTATTTCTATCAGGAGTGATACTCATTCACGGTGATACATTACTTTGGATGAATGATTGGTGCGCTCCGCTCAACAGTTGTCGTTGGATGATCTATTTAACAATGCTGCATTGTTTTAATCAATCAACAGTTGCTATTATCTCAGTACAAATCAGAGTCAATATACAATCATCGTTGATTTATATCATAATATGTGATTCGATTTTGATTCTCTCTCGAGTCTCTATGAAATTCAAAATTCATTCAGTTCATTCGTATTTGACTGGAATAGTGAGAAAAACTTTTTTGCTTACGAAAACATTTTTAGAAACCACGGAATTCCGTGGAAAAATCGAAGATTCTCAATAAACATATTCCTCGATAAATCCAATTCCATACCACTTTCACATAAAGTTCCCCCAAAATATCAGCAGAACTCAGTAAACAAATATAATATTTCATTCATTTTGAGATCTCAATGCAGTTGGCAACATTTACAAGGTTTGCGTTCTTGAAATCCAAGAGCACAACAACGATTAAGCGCTTTCAATTGAAATGCAACGCAAACTATTAAGAAATATGACGACGAAGAGAGTGCCTCAATTTAGAGTGGAAAAGAAGAATGAAAGAAAGTTTCAATGGGAAAATCAAGGAAGATTGAATCGATGATGAAATTATTACGATTGATTTGACGTTCTTTCAATATTAATCGCTTCATCCAACGGTGAACCAATGATATCATAATGCCATTTTGTTGTTCCAACAATACCAGCTGATACTGAACCTGATTCAATACCACAGCACAGTCCCAATTCAATACTCGTTGAATCGCAAAAACTTCTGAATTATTTTATTTTCGGATTGATGCACTGGATTTATCTATTTCAATTCTACCAAGTAAGGTCATCAATTGATTGAATGCATCATCTGCAAAACTGATCACACAGTACAACAATTCGACCAGTGAATAAAAATATGTTTTGAATGCAGTATCCTTCTTGATAAATCTTTTGAAACAAATGTAATTGCATTCGTATACCCAGACATTCTAATGAGAGCATGTTTTTCCAATCATTTTTAATCATTCCTCACTGTTCTACTGATCCTATTCAAAATTGCATTTTCAAGAGTATTGAAGCATTGTTTCATCAGCAATGACAAAATTATATCATAAACATCATCAGTCTAAGAACGAATGCGCTCAATATTAAAACGGTACCTGATAAGTGTTTGCAAATCGATGGCAAATAAGACAACATTGCGCAAATGATCATCACTAATATTTGGTATACCGGCCACAATGAGAATTCCATCTGATTGCAATCGGATACAGTTAGACTTCTGTAATTGATGTGAATTACTATCAACGTTCATGGTAATACAATAGGTATTCCTGTTCTACTTTCTTCATTACGATTTTTCCGGTGAAAATTGACAATATTAACAACAACATAACAAATGACGGATATTGCAATATGAACATGGTAAAATATCGGAATCCAATCATAAATTACTTGAATTGCAACTTCATCCCCCGGACTGATCTGCATAAAACAGCATCTATCAGTTCTCTTATCATTACTTTTAGTTCTGATAAAATGCGAACAATTTCATTGAATGGGATACTTCAAAATTTAGCAAGAGGTGGTAACATCGCTGTACTTAATCAGAATAATTACCACTACGTTCAATGCATTCATCCACACAGGTCCTACATAATTACGGCTCATTTGCAGCACATAACCAATTTTCTAACATCAGAATTTATTTCAGAATCTTCAAATGTACTGTAATATCGAAAGCACATTATTTATTTTCTATTGAAAGGGAAGCCATAATCTAAAATTCAGGTTAAAATATATTTTAACAGACCGCTCTACACACTGAATGAGTTATATTCCCTGCTGTTAATTCGCGAATGTCCTTGAGATGACTATTACCAAATGCGACGGTTTTCTTGTATGCATGAGGATGGAATGTTTATTGTTTACAGAAGAAACAAAAGGAAAGTTTTGAACTGACTGAGATAAGATAATTTTTCAATAAATCAATCACAGTGCATTGCACAACAATATAATGCTGATTATTTGATGAAAGAATCTGATTTGATAAAAGGCGACAACCACGTCTATCAGATTAGAACTTATAACAGATCATTTTGAGTGATATTTTCATTATTCGTTTTTTAACTAGTGACTCGAGTTTCGTGAGGTATATACGTGATATGTTCTCTTGCATGAGCTCTATGAGCTCTCTTGTCTTCTTCATTAATTTGAATGGACTCAAAAACCATTTTGAACATGCCCTTGAGACATCTGTTGAAATAAACGTTTTTTAAAAGCGTTTTTCTGATGAAAACGTTTTACAAGGCATAAAGTTTCACGTGTGCAATGTAGTGACTTCTTCAAACAATTAGCCTTATGTTCATCAATTAATCAGTGGAATATAATGATGAATGNGTGGTTCAGCTTCATGCACTTTAATGAGAGCAGTACATTTAGATGTTTGTTAACTGATTCATGATTGAGCAGAAAATTTGCAAAAAGAAGCGATTTTTTGAGAAATTTCTTGTGATTCCCCGGTGCAATGAAGCTCGAAAATTGCGTTTCTTGAGGCATGACAAATTCAAACTGACTGTGGCTGAAAGAGACGAAACGAAACTAATGATGCTGAAATTCAATATATTGGAAGTAGATATGATACTGATGTGTTGATTAAATAAGAGGAAATGTTGCTGAGCATGAGAATATCGATTTGAAAAAATGAGTTTCGAGTGTCTCGGTGGAATTTTTGGAGAGCGTATGTGATGAAATATTGGAGAAGACGAGAACGGAAAACAATTTCTAAAGGTTGAGGGATTTAAAGGAAATGAATATGTACGAACAGACGACAGTTGAAGGAGAAAGAGGAGAGAGTAAAGCAATTGATTGAGCAATATACCATTTTCGGATGACAACCGATGATTAAATTTACAAAATCGGATATGAATTTTGATATACTTCAATAATTTTTAATTTATTCCATCTTCATTCCACTTCATGGAATCTGCTGCGAAAAAATGAAGTTAATGACATTGAAAATAGGTGATAATTTATTATTCTTACAACAGACCAGAATGCTCGACAGGCATGTGAGCAACACCAATATAATGAAGATGGTTGATTTGATTGGTCAAAAATGAGATTTTGAAGTGAAACTATAAAATGCTGCCCACCTCGAAAAGGGACGAAACGCGCCTTACTGAGACAGACTGAGTCTAAACATTGTCTTAGAGAGATGCATTTGAATTAATGAAAAAAGAAAAAAACTCACAACTTTCATAGATGCATTTTATGGGGTTCTTGCAATGAGCAATAATACTAAACTTCATTATAAAACTGACTTTTGCAATTTGATCGATCCGCGAGTTGAATTCATTCAGCAAGCGAGCGCTGTCCTGTGGACTGCACTGCGAGCAGATTTCCTCGAGACCAATCAATCGTCCATAAAAAACACTGAAAAACTCCATACTGATTGATGCTTTCAAGGTTGCACAACTGCATTCAGGACTGCTTAATCGATAAGATTTCACACAGTTATGAGACATACGAAATTGCAACTAAGCGTTCGTTTTGCAGCCATTATGGTGATTTTGGAATATCTTGAAATCGTGTTTTCTGAATTTATCGATAAAATATCATCAATTCTGAGTCATATAGTAAGTTTCTGTAACATATACGGAATTCAGAGAATCAATTCCAAAGAAATTTTATTCATCACAGACCCCACGTCATCTCTTACGCTAAATTAATTATGCTTCGTTCCTGTTTCAAAGCAATCGTTATCAAATCAAATTTTATGTAGATTTTATGCAGGTAAATTGGTTTTTGATGCATTCCAATTATTCGAACACTTTTTGTACTTATTACTGCACTGTTTCTATCTCATTTACTATCATATAAAGCGATTAGCAATTACTATATTATAATGATTTCTTTCGATATCGCGTTCAAATGAATTTGTTTCATTTTTGCGTTGTTGAAATTCGGAAGAAAAGGAGGGAAAAATGCGAATTTGATTAGTGCTGATTTTTCTTTTTTTGCTCATTCAGACAAAACGAAATTCGATAGAAAAAGATAACGAACGCACCGAATGCGAATGAGTGTCTGCAGTAATGAAAAAAATGCAATTGATAATGAACAAAAGAAAGTGTCTTTGTTTTGAATTTATTACGATTGTGAAAACAATATTTGATTGATTCGTTTGCAATAATCACAGATACAGTTCAGAATGAGTGAATTGATTTTTCGGTGAAATCTGGTTGAGACAAACGAATATTTCGCAGTGTTTATGAATCGAACTCGGATTCAGTGACGTCGTGATGAAAAATTGTTGTGATGAGAATCGAGCAACTCTTGAATTATTNTCTGTGGGTTTTGCTTTGCGGCAGAACAAAGCTTTGAATAAATAGTTGGGTGTAACAGAAAGATCATCTGCTCAATTGTTGCGTTCAAGACTGACTAGCTAAAACAATATAAACACGCTCTGAACAGTCATCCCTTCGTGATCATGTGCTCGTCACTAGTTAACACACCTAAGCTAACTTTTCAGGTGTGTGAATGATGAAAAATGCATTTTTGCACGTGCGCGAGGTTGTTCCGCGAATAACATATTTATAGAGGTAGTGAAACTTACGTCACTTGAGCGTACTGTTCGGTGTAGAGAGTTGGTGAAGTTTTGGTGAAATACTGTCGAATTCCATGAACCAAATGCGGTGGTACCACAGAGGACACTAGTTCAGTCTGTAAGCTGCTTTATTTCATGATAATATGCCGCCTCATTGAAAGTGCGGTAAACGATCACACAAAGTCGTCTTTAATTCATTGCTTATCACATCGTTGACAGCTGATGAAGACAGAGTACACGGCAGTCGAAAATCGGAGAAAATAGGTCAAAAAAAAGAGAAGTTCCCTCAGAATTTTCTTCTAATCTTCAGCAAAGCACTTTCAATTTGTTATTTCAGTGCGTTTTCATCAAACGTTCGTTTCAATGAGGAAAAAAGTTCAGTATAATTGCAATTTTCACCATACTGCACACTGCTCAGACAATTTTATCATGAAACATTCCACTCCGTAGATATTTTGCTCATGCGAAATTGACGAATTCTCGCTCAATGAAATTCATTACATAACAATTTAGGCGTCAAGGAGATTAAACAAGAGCAACAATGAAGCTTCTAAAAATGAGAGCAGAAATCAATAATTTAAAATCCTCCTTCTAGCCCAGCATCATTATCCATCAGAAATGAAACACATTCCAACAATGATCTATCACCACATCAATTACACTTCGCCTCACTTATTTCACGACAAACCCATCACCATTCGCTTATTGTTTCTCGCTTACCGATGATTTTTTGCATTTGCCAAACCGTAAATAGCCGAATGAAACAAAATCTCGTGATGAGTGCTATCATTTTCATGAAACAATTTTCTTTCTGAAGCACTGATTGAAATCTTATAGACTCTATTGAGCGGTGTTCCGTTCAAAGTGCAGTTGGATTCACAGTGATGGTGCGAACATTCTTGAAGGATTAATTTGCACTCGATGGGAAATATCCTCGAACGAACAGTGAAAAAAGATTGTCATTTTCCAAAAATTAATCACCAATGCGGAGTTCTGTTGAACGGCTTTTTGTTCAGCCGTAAACGCGTTACGTGCCCTCAGGAAAGCACTTCGACTGATCCGATCCTGAACTGACGCTGCGTAAAAGCCAACGAAATGCGTCCATAGATGTATCAATGCGGATGCAAGGAACTAAAATTTGCTATGTTGAAAAAAATTGAGAATCAGAGTTGTATTATATAAACACTGATTTCGAAGTGAATCTCATTCACTCATTGAACTCTATGTAAAACACCATCTTCAGATAGATTTTCATTTTTCAAATGAAACTTGAAATTTTGAGTCTTCTCTTGGCGTCACGACCAAAAATTCATCCATAAATGTGACTGTCATAAAAAATTAGACCATTGTTTGATTCTTGTTACGAATAGAAAATTCAAATAAATGCTTCAAAATTGATGATATCATTGGTGCTCCTCAGTGTGCATGCAGCACTATGATTTTATTATGAGCAATGATAATAAGCGACTAGAAGCACTCAAAAACTGTTCGTCTTTTGTCTTGTTTCCTCTCTAGAGATGTTATAACGATGTGGAAATTAAGATGGTGGATGATGTGCAAGTGGATGAAGATTATACCAAAGATAATCTGACATTTGTGGATGTGCTGTGTAATTCTGCAATTGCACACTTCTAGTTGGCTCTTTCATATCGCATTTCATTGCGAATTAGAGATCAACAAACGCCTCCCCTCCGCACTCACATGAATATGTGGATATTTCATGCTTAAACAGCATAAATTCACGCTGTTCTCCATTCATCCGCAATATCATGTGGAAATTGAGTTTTATTAACATGGTGATGATTCAAAGAAGACCAGAAATTTACTAGGATTACAATTTTCACTGGGCTTACTCATAAACAAGTCACTGAAATGATACAGAAGCCACTTTAAAGTTGTCATAAAGTGCCATTTTACAGCACAATAAAACACAATTAATGCTGATGTTCTATGTCCTTGAAAGTTCCCGTTGAAGTCAAATTGAAAAAGTGGCGCCAAGTGGATAGATGTTCCTTACAAAAATTGCGCACCAATAAATATTTAGAGTCACCGAAAGAAATCGTTCGAATGAATCTTTATCTAAAGGGTAAATATTCGAGTGAATATGATTTATTCTGTGAACGAATGCTCGACCAGCAACGTTCTTCTCATTACGAACAAAAAAGAGCATGAAACAGTTATCACTGAAAACAGACCCCAATACATTCAACGTCTTATTGCTTTCTCGCATCATACAACTGAACTTTTCACAGACTATTTCTCTTTACACTGATTCAGTTATAAAAATTTTATGGCGCAATTTCTGATGGCATACAGATATTAGCAATTATTTAAACTGTTCATATCAGTTCCGAAAAATCTCTCACATAACAGTGAGGATGATCGCTTCAACTGCATCATATGCGTAGCAGTTTTATGATGATGAAAACTTGTTGGAGGTCTGCATATTGGAATGAATGCGATGAAATCACAATGGACGAGTAACATTACGTAGTCGAGAAAAGCCGAATGAGACTTGTCCACCTGACAGGATCGATCACTTTGATCGGAATTAGGTGATGAGCAGCCGATAACGTGAATTATGAGAAAATGACTGCGATAATGTGATCGATTCTGATGCACTGTTTTACTCTTGCGTTTAGACTGACAGTTTAGGTTGCTTCAGTTTCGGTTTTCTTTCTGGCACAAATACATGCGAAGAAACGTTGTAAGACGTATGATAGATTTCACGGCTTATGTAAAATTTTATAAATGCATATATTCGGTGGAAAAAATCTTCATATACAATTGAACTGTTTGTTATCTCATAATCACTGAGAGAACGAGAACGGTTTCATTTGAGCGTTGAAAAGCACAGATTTTGAGTCACTTTTTAAAGATTTTCATTCCATGAAAATAGAGTAAAACTGAAAAGCAGTAGCCGTTGCGGTTCAAAAATGCGTTGAATACTTGAGAGATGAGTGGATTTCAATTTTATCAATCAAATTAGAACTGATGCTGCGCTTTTTTTGCGAATGATTCCACCGCTATGATAAACAGCCGCTGCAGTGAATGTAAATAAACACTTGAACACTTACAAGAAGTCTACTCTTCAGTCACAAAAGAAATCTTATACCTCAACTTGAACCGTCTTTTCAGCTTTCGAGTAATCAAAGTGCATCGTCAATTTAAAAGCTTTGGAATAAGTAATTGCAATCAATCAGTTCATCTCCGTCGAGATGCGCTATATCGCGGACAATTTTTATGGTAACGTAAAGTTTTTTGATGGAGATGAGTCAGACTCAGTTGATTGCATTCAAACTGATTATCTGTTAACATTTGCTTACTTCCATAAACATTTATTGTTCATAAAAATGAGCTCATTTATGTCATCTGCATCTCATTAGCCACCGTTACAACAATCACGCAGAACATTTATTCGCTCCAATATAATCAGAAATACCCAAAAAATATGAAATATGTTACATTTCAATTTCAAAATACGCTCAACACCCAGATCTTATCGCAGTGATCGATGTCAAATCTTGAAAGCCCTTTCAGCTGTCTGATAACTCAAGAACAGTGTGCGCTCCTTATGCGATAGCATTGCACACCACAGCCGGTCACTTTCTCAACATATCCAAGAAATTGCCAAGACTGAAAATCAACCGTCAACTTTGCGGGTATCTCGCAATGATCCTTTGAGTTCACAGGTGATGAAACTGCTCCCGTGATCTATTCCATTGAGCGTGCTTGGCAAGAGTGCTAATAACAGTTGAAAAGTAGAACGTAAGCTCTAATCCGAGACTAAGCATCACTACGCATAGATCAAAAAATATTTTTGTTAATAGAGGATGTAGTGCGAGAGGAGAGATGAGCCATAGTGAATATGACATATGTTTGGATAAATGCGCTTTAATCTATCACTAACAACTGCCTCAATACCATACATCGTTCGATAAAACAAAACTCTTAAACGCAACATACACCAAAACAATTCATTTTCGAACAAACGTACTCTTTAATACTCACATTTTCCTCAATTATTCCAATCATTTCCCGTTCAAATCAACTACAAAATTGAGGAATTATAGAAAATTGCTCAGCAGTTTTGTTAATTTATAACATTCCCATACTTGAATTCATAAATATCAAAAACATCAAAGGGTGGAATAAGTACTGCGCATTAATATAAAACAAGTTTGATAAAGGCTCATCGTCAAGAAATTGTTGTGACAGCTGAATTAGATGATATTTTCGGAAACTGATACAATCGAAGAGAATACTTAAATGAAGAAGTGAATGAATACTTCAATAAACGAGCACAAATAGAACAGTTGGTGAAGACTCAAATTTCATTTTCATTTGTTATTTCAACCACTTTTCAATCATACATATGTTTTGGAGAGTTTCACTTCATCCGTTTAAAATTGTTGGAGTGATATTTCGAGGTTCCTCAAAATTACACAAAAACCGTGACAATAACCGAATCAAATCAGGATTGTATTGACCGTTAAGAAGCTGAGAATTACTTCAGTGTCTTAAACTCAGATGTTCCTTTTCGATCCAATTGAGCGTTCACAACAATTCATCAGTGTAGTCAGCATTTCGTGTTGACAATAAATCATGTTTGTTTTCATTAGAGTAACAAAGCAACTAGTTTTTGGACTACAACAAGTAACAAAATAACATTTTCCGCTAAAAAATTTCTCAAAATATCACACAAAAAACGGAAATCAATGAAAACTGATGTCACTGTGATGTCATCATCAGTACGCCTTCGTCATTCAGATGAATTTCCCTTGAAAGAGTGCAACTTTCCGCTAGCCAATCGCTTTCGAAAAGTGCGATCGACAAATAAAACAACAATTTTGCACTTAAGACTGAGCGAAAACCGATACTGAAAAACCTTTCGCGCTCAAGCAAAACTGTCAAGCGTGAGAAGTATCACTTTAGGGCGAATCATATTCGAATATATCGTTAAAGTGTTCAGTCTCAGACAGCATGTAGTGGTTTGGCTTTAATCGAATTATACGTTTGACAATATGCGACAAACAACGATGAGTGAAGTGAATTTCTATTGTGTTTCGAATGTTCAATCAATGCTTCTCACCGACCTGCATCCAATATTATACGGTTCTGTGAAACATCTATTCGGATTCGAATTGCCTTTCTCAAAATTGAATAACCCGTTCATGCAACGGTCTTCACGAGTGAATGAAATTTTATGAATTTGTTTGAGTATCGCTATTCGATCACATCATATACTCGATTGATCATCGCTCTTTTGTGTAGCAATGCAATTAAACATGAATGTATGTACATGGGTGCAATCATTCACTACGAGTTTAGCAACTGAATGTTGTTTGCATAATACTACCTTAAATCAACAATCATCAGTGAAAAAAAAGATTTTTTGCGATAATTTAAGCAAATATGATAAAGTCGATTTTGGAATCGTTGCTAAAAAATACCTTACGAATATTGAATACTATTGAATGTTGCATCAAACTCAACTGTATATTGAATAATATTCAACATTTATATTTATTGTGGGTTCTGTTAATGTTTTCATAATTGCCGTCAATTATATACTCATGTGCGAGTCGTAACAAACAAAATCTCTTTTTGCATTTACTCAAAATTTCACTGTGTATATTTGCGTTATGTTACGCAACTTTAATCGTTAGTAATTTCATCTCACCCAAGTACAATTTAGTGTGATTCTTTTGTGAAATTTCGAGCAATAATACTGGTATGATGGGAGTGAAATGAATAAATTTATCGCAGCACTCTTTACTGAAAATGATGTTCGCATAATATGCGAAGCTATGCAGCGGAAAGAAGAAGTGAACAGTGTGGGGAGGCGAACAAATGTCAATTAGTGCTGAACGAACGAATTTATGATATGAACCATCATTAAAGTTTCAAGTTAATTTCAGACTGCAATGCAGGTATCGATAACTTGATGCGAGAAACTGGATTCGAAAACAGTGACCCAAACCTATCATTTCAACTAGCTAACATTTTTTATAAGAAGAGTTTGTTGAATCAACCAGGTTTAAAAATATTCTATGCATCAAGAAACTTTACAGTTACTGGGCAATAGCATTAAATGGAGATTGATTATGATGAGTATGAGTTGAAATTCGATGAAATAAAGTACCTGAAAAGAAGAAAGAGGAAAGAACAAACCTGATTGATGGTGATTGTTCTTGTGAAATAAATAAGTGCTATCAATTGCGTAATGGATAGTAAAGAATTAATTATAATAATATGGCGTAGCTTGAGAGGGATTATCGCGTAAATGGTGAATATTGTAATAACGGTTGGCAGCAGTGACGAATATGTAGATGGATAAAAGAATAAACATGTGATTATGATTAATTGCAGCGTTGAATATGTCACGAATTTATGGAGTGATGGCTTTAACAAAAGAATGGTTTGCAGAAGTAGTGCGATGATGATTTCGAATGCACAGATTATGAAGATAACATCATACTGAACCAGATGTATTAGCAGTAATAAAAGAATTGATATCGTATAAATACATAATAAATATAAGATCTGTCTCTTGATATTCCACTTAATTGATTTCCAATACAATACTTCTAATGAACTATCACCGAATACAGCAGCCATCAGACCAATTCCTCGCCTGCTTCCATCCAAACAACAATAACGATCCACCACCAAACCAACCTATCTATGAATATATTTATAACACATCCACCGTCAGCTATCCATCCCCCTATCCCACTGCGCTTCTCATCGCAACTATTTCCATCTGCAATTTCTCATCATCTTTACGTTAAACGTGTTCTCATCTCATCTCATCCATTCATTTCATCAATTCTAATCATATTCTACAGTCAGCTCAAGTCTCTCTCCCAAAGCACTCCCTTCTCAGTTCGCACAATATTCCGTTCTCCTCATCTTAATTCCACGTCTAACCGTTACCTCTCTCATATATTCTAATGTTTTTATGCTCCATATTCTCAATATTTCCTAATACATTCTCATCATTTCTTAAAACACTAAGAAGTTTCGTTTTTATTAATTTGTCTTGATACGTAACATTTTCCTTCGAATTTCGTTGCCAATTTAATATCATTTTAATGTCTTATTCAAAGGCTTTTTGCTCTAAATTCAGCCTTTTCTTTACCAATTACAACTTTTCGCTACGGTATGTTCCCGCACACCCAAACATCTCGCATATGCTTTCAGCACGAATAACGAAAATATGTGGATAAAAGTTATCGGCTTCTATAACCGGAATGTTGAATAATTCATCAGAAATCAATTGTTCCCAGCTGCCATTTATTAGTAACAATACTTCTAAGCGATCTCGAGACATCGAACTGAAATTCCGATTCCAATTTTTGTTCACATTGAAACCTCGGATCACTAAATGGAGTAAATCCTTTACAATATTTGCAAGGTTCCTTCTATCATATGTTCTGAAATCTGATCAGAATTTTCACAGATATAATGATAATTTGAGGATTCAACTAATGAGTCAGTAAAAAGGTAAAGAAATCGCTGTGAGATGAATAGAAGCTAACGTGGCTACCACGAGTCCTTCCAAAATCGTTGTTAAGTTGTCTACGCGATGTCCCAATGATTAAACTCTACATTTCAGAAATCGCTCTCGTAATCGAGTATCAATCACTCAAATGCATATCTCCTTTTTGCAGATATGGCACATTCGGGTGACTAAATCGTTGCTCGGCTGTCCATATGTGCATAACTATTTCGTAATCGAACAATCGCAGAGCGATACAAATAAATCATTCTTAACGAGCTTGCATTATGGAGAAGTCGTGCAGCATATGAAGATTAAACGACTTTGCTGCAAGGCACTCCAACCTCACCAACATTGATTTCTTCACCAATAATGTGAGTTAATAATTAAGGTGAGTTGCATTCTTAAAGTCAAAAACATGGTATGTCGATTGAAAACCAATTAGAAGTAGCCGTAAAAGTGGGATGTTTCGTGTAAAATTAATTTTATGCAATTGTAGTTTCCGAAAATTTACACAAAGCAAGTTTTCTCGGTGGAACCTTTTGAAAGAACAGAATCTTCTTTGTTTCATTTCGATTGACTCATAAAATCGTCACAATGGGAAATTTTGTAATAGTCCAGTGATATTCAACACTTACACTTTAAACTGAGCAAAGCATTTCATCAGCTCATTGTTAGGGAATATCTGTCAGCGCAGAGAGAAGCAATACAAAACTATGAACTTGATTAATGGAGTTTCGGCAAAATTGAAGGAAGTCATAACAATGCATTGAAACGAGTACGATCATTCGAATGTTGTAATTCATTACGAGTTACAAAATATGATGAATTGTCGAGACTAGAAACCATATTGAGGACTGCACATTGATCGCATCAACGTTACCACCTGCGTGCCTCAGAGTCGATAAGGTTTATTAATCACGGATGGTGCTGTTCGCAATATTGATACATCAGAACTGTGCACATTTCACAGTCTTAAGCAGCATTCTCCAACTTCAACGATCCAACTTGTTGACTGGAACTGGCCAGATCAATTGCATTGTCAATTCTGCTCGACTGTCAATGCTAAATTGCTTGTCCATTCCCCCGACAGATTAACAATACAACTACAGTACAGAAGTCATGATGGACTGGACAGTTCTTTTTTGAGTATTTCACTGTTTCTGCTTATTCAGTCAAGATCCTAGATGATCCAAACTGTAATACTGTTAACTGAGTAAAATTTATGGACATGAACCATACAGAGGAATATCTGAAAGAGATAGAGTGCTTAATAGCGATACATTCAGTAATAACGCATCATTGTACAAACCAATGTGTCTCAACGCTCGTGAACGGTTATCTGCTAATGAAGGCGAATCTGATGTTGAATTTTGTATTGATCAAACAATCATTTCTTCATCAATTAATTACTGCTTTAATAATGAATTCTGCGTTCCAGAAGTCACGGATAATGATAGATTTATCAGGATCAATCTCAATCGTTAGTTGCCTTAAGGTACTTCCCATTTCGGCAATACTGTTTAGAATATCAACAATGCTCTGTAGAGGGGGAAGGTTCTCAGGTAGGAAATAGACCAAGTGGCATTAGCAAGAGAAGAATACCGTCAACGTCACATAGAAAAAAGTCAGCAGATCAGTGGGAGCGTTATTAAGCGAAATAAAATTTTGATTGGAATACTTTTTGCTTCCCGTCACTTCGTTGCACCTGAAAAAAAATGACCGGAAAACCAATCTTCAAAAAATTTGCTCTGAACTAAGCCGACTCGCAAACACCATTAAGAAACACCTTCCGCATGTTCTTTAGGAATCTGAACTTCACCAGCTAATAAATGAGAAGCGATTTCAACTTAAAGTCTCTCCTAAAATGTACAGTCAGCAACAAAATCAAAAGATTTCAACCTTACCATCCTGGTTTATTTCTCCTTCTTCGTCGAACATGAAATGGTAGCTATTCCTTAAGTACACTCTTGGTTTTCGACAAGAAACTCGACAAGAAACTCTCTTCTTCTGAATGGTTTTCGCCAACTGGACGCAAATCCCGGCTGCTGAACTGTTATCAGTCGACGCGTTTTCATGTTACTGAATTGAACCTTGAATCATCACATGTGGTTATTTTTTGAAGATCGGATGTTCCAGTGAGGACAACATATTCTCAGTTCATTATGAACATCCGATGCAACCTGATTATTTTATTCATCATTTCAAATTCTCCTTAGATTTCGCCTGTTTTTGTTGAAAATGATTAATTTAAACCTTTGATATGCAATATAGGTTAACTGCTCTAATGCGTGACCGTGGGCACAAATTTGTGATTAAAACTGATAATTTAATAACTTTAATACTACGATTTTCATACAGTTTTATATTCGCTGTTTCATCTTCTAGTGGCAGATGAGGGCATTAGCATCGTGAACCAGCAGTAAGAAAGAAGCAATGCACCCAAAATAAGGGATTTTGGAAAACCGGTAACATGAGTTCAAAATTCAAAGGTTCAAGTTTTTAAAAACGCATGAACTGACCTTTGGAAAAAGCTACTAGTAGTAATTATCATGATCTAGCTATTATTGTGCCAAAGGATCCAAGTAGTTGTCTTCACTTTTTCATATATGAAGAAGCTAATTCACCCTCTAACTATAGTATTAATTCAACGAGAGGTTCGCTGCTTACANTTAATCATCTGTATCAGTCAATGCATTGTGTTTTCAGCCTTAATCGCTCATCGCACACCAGTACACAGAAATGAACAGCGATACATAAGAGCAGTGGCGAAAAGGCAGATTCCATTGTTTGAATAGAATTTAACTAATGCAAATTCAGTTCATTTTATCGCGTATTGTGCAAGATATTCATTGGGATCTTATTGCGTTATTCACATTGTTTTGCTTTGATTATTAATGGGTCGATGTGTATTGAATGGTGAAGTAGTCAGGATTATTGACATATTCTTCAGCAGTTTTTCGTTCATTGCGACCATAATTTTCATCTTATTGTTAATAATGTTTGGTTCGTGTGATATTCATTAATTGAAATCATTTCACTTGTTGAGCGTGAATAAAATTTGAGTTGATTTTGGAATTGATTGTTAACGATTCTTCTTTCGAGATAGCTGCTGATATTTCCCGCAATCAGTGTGTACGAATTAATGATTTCAGTGTGATGCTAGCAGGTCAAGTGGCACTGGTAACGGGTGCATCTCGGGGAATCGGTAAAGGAATTGCCTTAGAACTTGGTAGAGCTGGTGCCGTCGTTTACATAACAGGTCGACCACCAAAACAACAAGAAAGAGCCCTCAACAGACTTTTACATCAACCAACACTCGTTGAAACCGCTAAGCAGGTCGCAAACGTTTGTAAAATTCCGAAATTTTGATTCAGTGATAAATGGATTGCAAAATAATTTTTCAATTCGGTTGGACGGTATGATGTGTTGAAGACTACGTTTGAGAGATGCAGTTACAAGGGAGTGAGTATATATTACGTTGGGTTTTTTTAAAGTGAGGAATTGTATAGCTTTTGGTAATGATCTCACGTGAGTTGGCCTCTCAAATTGTTGTTTTCAATTGTGGTACTTGCATACTTCTTCCATTCTTACCCGTTCACTAGTCTAGATATGCGACTCTGGTGGCAAAGGGATTGCTGTGTATTGTGACCATAGTGACGAGAAAAATGTTCGAGAATTATTCAAACAAATTTCATCGGAACAAAAGAATCGCTTGGATCTTCTTGTGAATAATGCTTATGCCGCTGTAACGGTATATACTTCTGATTAATGTCTCATCCTCCATTAGTTTCACGCAAAATTTAATTTTCTGTAAGGTACTTGCGTACTCTTTTATTCTCTGACGCACGATAAAAATTCACTGATCCAATCATACTTATTTCGGTGTCTAGACTTTCAGATCCATTAAGCAAATGATAGATTTTGCCAACGTTGAATGAAATTCACTTGAAATATGACTTTCAAAGGCCATAACACGTAATGCGAAAACGAAATTTTACAATACGGACACATCGATGTGGGATATTGTGAATAACGTTGGATTACGCAATCATTATATATGCTCTGTTTATGGTGCAAAAATGATGGCATCCAACAAAAATGGACTTATAGTGACAGTGTCTTCAAGTGGTGGCTTACGCTTCTTATTTGGTACTGCTTATGGAACGGGTAAAGCCGCGGTATGGTATATACTCCTTTCCTTGTGTGTCTTCTTCTTGAATTTATAACACCTGATTCTCGTTCATATGATTTATTCTTGAACGTATATAACTTTGTTTTAAATTCTGCAGTTCAATTCACAAATCCTTTATGTAACGCTTACTTATCGTGATAGTTCTCGTGCAGTCTGAAACAAAGCTCAATGATAATCGCTAGAAGATACTCAAATGTATTATCAAATTGCTGCGAAATTTGCGTTGTTCATTCAGAAAGCTCGAGAAAGTTAAGACGAACACCACTTCCAATTCTCAGGAAGACCTTAATTTGAAAGTATTTGAAATTGCAAGCAAATATGGAAATTACCTTTAAGGTTTACTGGGTAGAAACGAAATGAGCGTAAGTTTCAAACTATTCGAAGACTGCAAAGTAATTGAAAAGTTGTAATAAATGAGAAAATGGATTTTAGTGTGATCGACTTGCCGCAGATATGGCCCATGATTTAATCGATGATAATGTCACTTCGGTATCTCTTTGGCCTGGTCCTGTCGTCACTGAATTAGTCAGTAAAACTGTTCTTAAAACTAGTAGCAATCAGGTTAGTTCTTGTCGTCTTTTGTCAGAAATTATTCTGTCGATGTTATTTTGCGTTTGCATTTGTAACTGATGTTCATAAGTTATGTTTTTATTGTGCCATACTTTTGAATCAGCCCTCGAAATGTGGAAATTTGCTTTCTGCGGTAGTCAATGAGTGATAAATATAACTACTCAGAAAAGCAGACTGCAAAAAATCTACGAAAAGGCCGAATCAACGCAAATGTCTGGCAAATGTATCGTTGCATTAGCAAACGATCCTAATCGGATATCGAAAACCGGGCATATTTTAACAACAACTGCACTGGCACGTGAATACAACTTATATGAAGAGGATGGCAGTTAGTTTATTGTTACTGTTATTGCCGTTCTTGACGTCATTTTATGATTGCTGTTTCCGAATCATATTGGATATAGGTCACGTTTGTATCTTTTGATATTAAATGACGCCATCAGCTAAGGTATTTTTGAGCAAAGTTTCTCACTGATTTCTCACAGAAAATAATGGCGATCTTTTATTGCTTCAAGTTCCGGTGATAGTAATTCGTATTTTATCATCCTTAATTATGAATGTTTTAACATTGTTTTGGATTGTAACATTCTTTGTTTTTGAAGAAACTCAACCGGACGATCCATTTGTTGCTGGTTTCGAAGACTTCATCAAGCAACTGAACGAAATTCGAGCACCAAAGATACGAAAGTAATTAAATACTTCTAACAATTCAGTCGCTCTTCCGGATGTGAAATGTAACGAAAGAAAGATTTTTGGCGAAATACACTGCTCAATGTATGGCTTTCATATCGGCTCTGCAGCACCTTATACTAGAGCACTTTGAAAAATCGTAATGTACGTTTTCTAGGCATTTTTTGATCAATATAATTAATTGGTTGTGTTTATTTGTTTGTGAACAGATCGAGTTCTGTAAATAAACAGAGAGTGCGCAACGGTCATAACAAAAATTTTCGTCATTATTACCGTTGGAATCAATCTTTGATTGTTTTAAGTGCACCTGTGAAATTATTGAATCATCTTAGTATATAATTCTTCGTTGAATGATTCGTGTAAATTGTTTTTTCGATTGATTTCATTTGATAAATTCAGTTAAGCCTTTCCGTTGTTTTTGCGAGAAGAGAATTTATCAATTCGGCAAATAAACGATAGTTTGTTTGATGGATTGATATCAGTTTGATCATAAGAACAAACGAAAAACATTTGAGAAGTACATTTTAGTATGCCATCTTATGAATGTGTGAAAGATGTACGATTGTGCGTAAACAACAAATAAAATTATTACATTCGAGTAAGAGGGGGAGAGTAGGTATGAGCAGCGCATTGCTAAATTAGTTTTCGTCTTGGAATTAATGAAATTCAGTCATGAACATTCACACCGTCTTCAGCCAATTGTAGGTCATTCACCTGGTTTATTTTCATTCGTTTAACCGTAGCGCGTTCGTGAATCTCACTTAATTTCGACAAGACGGTTGCGTTTCTTCAAAATTGAGTGAGAATCGCGGCTTTGTTAGCGACTTTTTTTTTNTTTTTTTTTAAATTACTGAATTTACGTTAAAATGCCAAGTCATGCAAACTGTGTTGAGTAATGGCTAGTGAAATTATTAACTAATAAGAATGAATTATGTTTGCGGTTATTCGCTGATGAAGGTAAAAATTAGGTAAACGTTTTTGCAGCTGATTTTTCGGGGCAGTTGCATAAATTAAACAATTATGTGTGAACCAATTTATTTATTTATAAACGAGTGAAAGGCACAGTAATCATTCATACCACTGATTTCTGATTGTCCATCTTGGTAGTACAGAACTATGTTCTTTCACATCTTTGATAGTGTTTTTTAAGTGATTAACACTGGTGGATTCAAACATGACTGTGAGATAAGACTTCATATGCCACAGATGAATGAGAGGAAATTTCTAGCAGTTGATCGAGTGAACAATAGATGAGCATTCGATTTTAAGTGAATGTTCTCTAAGTATAATAGTGTCCATCTCGGATCATGTTGAAATACCGTTATCAACGAAGCAATGGTTGACTGGTAGACGATTATTGCATCATTTTCGTAAAGACTCATTTCTAATGTATTGGTTTTGAAGGTTTTGCCTAGGGCATTGTAAAGTACGCTTATTAAAGGATATTTTAGGAGTATGCTTCGAGTAAAGTATCATTGCACTTCATCGATGAAGTTACTATTATGGACTGTGTAAAAGAGTATATTGAAGAGCAATAAACGAGAATAGAGAGAGGAGTTGATCGAATATCTTTTTCCAGCATTTTTAAGAGTGTAACAATTTGACCAACTCGTCTAATTGTTTATTCGCAAACTTCACCAATTAATCCAGGCATCCAAAACATCAAACATCTATCATTTGTTTTCGTGCAGTCCTGTTACACTCAAAATTCAAATGGTTTCAAGAAATAGGAATACGATAGTAATCGCTACATTACGTTCCACCATAAAAGTGATAATGATAATGGATTACCAGAATTATAGCACGTTGTGTTCAATAGTAACAATCAGTCGTGGTCACAGTATCAATAACAATAAGACGTAAACAATTATAAGCGATCACGCAATAACAATCATCTGCATTAATAGTGCGCTTCCATAATAGTCAACAGCAATTCAACGATATGCATTCGTCTTTTACTCTCTTGTTGTCGTTTACCACACCCAGTTCTATTCCAGTGATCTGTTGGATTATCAGCCACTTTCGTCTTAGCAAAATAGCCCTCAGAATATTTTATTGTTGCTTCACTATGGGATAGGTTATACTCTGTATAGTTCATTTCTTATCATATAAACATCCAGTAATCGATCAGAAGAATGACGATTTTAATTTGCCACAAATGTTTCACATTTTAATTTTGTACTTATTGCAATTCAGCAGTCTTGACAGAGACCAAAATAAATAATGAGGCATTTAACTTATGATATCACCATTCACCGTTGCTCAGCGCACATGTTGGAGGAGTTTTCATTAGTGTGGTGATTGGATTACGACTATAAATTTTGGAATCACCAGCAGTTAACTCGAACTAGCCTCGAAGTGTTTTGAGGTCTACTACATAGATGATGAAAAACAAAGTTCCTGGAACAGTCCCTCATGAGACACTGCAACTAACGCTACTGTTTTAAGAAATGCATTTATTGCAAATGGCGCAATGTTGACGACCAATAAGTGGTGATTCAAATCATGAGTGAAGTTTACTGTTAACTCTTTATGATGAGAAAAGTTTGTGGTGTCAAATTTAGTAATAGGCTGCTGGATTCAACAGAAGAGCAGGTTCTGAATAATGAAGGTAAGGAAGCTGCGTCTGGAAAGGAAACCAAGATGACTTTCTAAAAATAAGTTAAGGTAAAAAAGAAGTTAAAATCACATGAAAGATGCATCTGAATAGAAGAGAATTTCATTTGAATGTTAGCGGAACGAATGTTCTTTGAAACAATTCAAAGTTTATTGAATGGAATTTGTTTACACCCTTTTACCTGCATGAATTCAACGAACGATAACACTTACAACCGATGACAAATCAATTCAGAAGGAATGCATCGTTGAGATTAATTACTATTGCGTATCTTCGACGAGACCCATTCAAAACTTGTTGATCGTGACCAATGTGATTAGTAATGCGTAAAGAACTGGAAATTGATAGCAACTGATTGCTTGCACCATTTGAAATGATTGCCTTAAATGTCTTTGCGGTACTCCTTACCAGAACATTCCCGATATTGTTAGTTCAAGTTAACGTTCGGATCTCATCTTACCATCTGCATTTCAAGCAGGTTTTCCAGTTGCGACGGTTTTGATTTTACCGCGTTTCGTCAATAATTTTGCTAAATTCTGTTGTATGATGTGTTGAATGCCGCCGTGTTTTTAACACTCCACAATGCGTTCTCGCACAATTGCGTGAAATTCCTATTCGTGATAAATGTATTTTTTTATCAGGATGTTTTCACGTGAACAACAATGTCATTCAAAATGCCATCGTGAGGTTCTTGTTGATATGCGTACGTTCCATCCAATGTAAATTGTTGCTTATTTTCTATTCTCTTGTTGTTCTGGCTCTAGCACTGGGGAGGTCACTCGAATGACCAAAAAATTAATTTGATCTTACCAAATTTCCGATAACCTACTCAAAACTGTGACAACGCTCATTCTGTTATCAACATATCGTTCGACGAATTTCTCTCCGTATTGTAGTATTTCATTTGTGTTCGTAGGTAATAACTGACTGAGAATCAATCACTTGAGAGTTTCCCAAACATGTTCATGGGCATTATCGTTAGCCTCAAAATGCAATTCGTTTCAACCGATTCAAATTCAAGACCAGAACTGCGATCATCTAAACGTCTGTTAACTAAATCGGTGTCAAATGCATGTCGATTCATACCTTTACATTTGTTTTTGTGATAAATTTTATGAAAGAAATGAAGATGCATTAATGACAGCAATCAAAAAAATTCCCTCCCGGAAAACACAACTTATGCGCATTTTCTTTCATCACTATTCTGCACACAGCTATTTTATGATAGTTTTTTGTACAAAGCGATCAATGGAATGTAGAAATTATCGCACACTGAATTTTCAGTTAATGTGCTCTGAGGTAATTCAGTTGATCTCTCCTCCCCGTCCTACTTGTCTTGATTACTTGAATGATCCAAAATACATAGCTAAGAAATTGCTTCGATATATTTGGTGCATCAAGTGGAAAATTTGCGCGAATCGAATTTTTCAGATGAATGCTTGATGCTTTTGAGAGGCAGCTTATTTGTCATGTTATGCACACAACCCATTGTCATATTGATTCTTTGCGGTAATTGAGTCCCACCAATTGCAAGTGTACTCACGTATCAACTCTAAAGAGAGAATACATGCAAATATGTGCGTCTCGAAAGGAGAACAAAAAAGTGGAAGGAATGAAACAGAGTTGGAGCATATGCAAAGATACGCAACGAGTCGACCTGAATCAACAAAAATGCTAGTAAACACGGTTCGTCATTGAAGGCATTGGTGTTGATGTAGATAGAATATTTGGCAATTAATTGGCCGCACCAAATTTAATGGATCTCAATCATTTTCATATCGGACACGCCTGAGAATTCGGTGTTATGTGCCAAAAATTCTGAAGCATGTCAAAATAGATTTGAATGTTATTCTTTCTGAAGCGATGCGACTCTTCATCGTTGCATAGATTGTTTACCAAAAGAAAACTCACCTTTCAAGCTGAACCGAGCTGAATTCATGAACATCAGTGAACAGCCATTGATATACACATACTGACTATGAGCTTTACAATCGTCGGTTACGACTGAATTGCTAGAACAACTGATGATGTCCTTCAGCTCATCGAAACTGTTATAAATCATCAACTGATATTCGGTCAAAACATTTGTGGCTTTATTTTGTACTTTTTTGGTGTTCTGATTTTCTTTGCGATAAATTAACAGTTCAATATTTCTGAATGTTCTATTCCGTTCTTGCTTTCGTCATTTAAGCGTGAATTATTCGAGTGAACAGAACCAGTCTAAATTCATTCTTTAAGCCTTCAGCGACACTTTTTGAAATGGAACGAAATAGTTGTTCGTTTGTGCAGTTCACTGATCTGCGTTATAAGTCGCACAAATGTTCTTTCATTGTCATTTCCAATTATCATTCCGTATTATATTGCTCCGCATTTTCAACGAGAAA